CCTGTTGTTTATTTCTTGTGATCCGTTATTGTCTTTAGTTATTGTTGTTCCAAGATACTTGAATTCTCTAACGCGCTCAAAGTTAAAGTCATCGATGGTAATGTTCTGACCGATTCTGTCTCTGCTTTGATTATTGCGCCTCTGAATTGCTGCTTTGGTTATTGCGGGGAACGGGTCTGAATATATGGACACATATATGTACGTGTAACATCCTTTGGATTATATGAAACACATATTTAATTTTAAAAACGTGACACGAGATCGATGTTATAGGATATCACTTTTGTGATAGGAACATATTTGTCCCTACTCGAGCAACCAGCTTGGGCAATGATTGACACCAGCCAATTCATTTGGCTCGTATCAATAGTATCATGAATATCCATAGAAAAAACTCTACTTACCATTATTCATTAATTTGAAAAGTTTGGTTGTACTAATGGTAGAGGTAAAAACTGTTGCCCATTAGATCAACCTCATGGAAAGAAAATTACTTAACTGTTTTGTTTAAAAATTCTCCGTTTTGGTTCCTTTTTTCGGTATGTATGTGTGTGTGTGTTCTGTTTTAAGTGTTAGTCCCTCTTCAGGACGTAGTTTGCTTTGTGGATTTTGGCATTGTTGTCTTTGTGCCTCACTGCTGGTATTGGCGTGGAGTGTGTTGATTCCTGCAGAGGAGGTAGCTTTACAGGCTAATTAGAAGTGAAAGGTTTGCTGCTAAAATAGTTCTTTTTAGAAATTATTTGTGTTAAGGATTATGAGTGATATTTGACTGAATATTTATATATAAATTATTGTTTTAGACGTTGCTTTGAGGGCAGCTGTGGCTATATCCTCTCTAAGAACAGGTATAATTGTGCAATGGAATCGGTAAACCACAGAAAATCGAATTCTCCCTGGCTGTGGCAGAGTTCGAAGTGAGCTATTTAGCTAGTTGCCATAATAAAGTAGAGTTGCCTCCAGGATGTCTGCTGAAGCAGATGTCGCTGAAGCAATCAGTTTTGTTGGGAGGATTTTGAAATATCTAACCATTGTTGGTTGTAATCGTATTCCTCCTTCTCAGAGAGAAGGGACTTTCATTTATGGGCTGGTTGTTCAATAGTTGATGTATGAGAGCGGAGGGGTAGTTGTATCGTTTGTAATTTACTTTATGTTGAATGTTGCACTCCAGTCCTAGCAGTGGTCGTGTTAGGTCGTGATTGAGCAGGGCGTATATATTAGCCCTGTATTTAATCTCTGGCCTGATATATGTTTTGTAAGTGTGTGAGTGTACGTGAATATGTCCGTCCAAATTTTTCACGTAGAGCGTTTAGTAGACCGACTCTTCTCCTTACCTGATTACGGGCTTCTGCCAGATGGCATCTCCAGTGCAGTGTTTTTGTGAACACCACGCCTAGGTACTCGATCTAAATACGAAGTTGGAGTTGATTTTTTCAAAATCTAAGGTCAATTCTTTCGGAAAACATTGTTTGTGGTGTGTCTGCTAAGATTAGGATGTCTGAAGAGAATTATTTGTGTTTTGTTTAAGCTCTCCATCTCCCGCACGATCTATTTACATGGTATAGATGATTTAATTTTGGACAGGATATTTCAGCAACTAATATTGCTATGTCGTTTTATATCTCTATTTCTCTCTCTTCTCTTTATTATTTCCTACCATTGTAACTGTATATCTTGTGTATTTTATTCAAGAATTTTTATCTTGTAAATTTATACCTCATCCCATTCTGGTATCTTTCAATATCTTTATATGTACATAAGGTTATTAGAAAGCATAGAAAATTAAAAATGCAAAGCAAGAAAACCACAACCTAAATGAACAGATGACCCCAGCCACCATACTGAACTTTAAGGTAATTTGTTAAAAAAGGAAAGAGGAAAGACAAGGACCCTTCAAAATGGACGTTTTTAGATATTTAGATCGATAGATAAACAATTTTCTATGCAATCGAGTGTAATCTCTTTTTATATTAACTTTGACCTTGACCTTGAACTTGAACTTGATTGGATGTACGTAATTTTATTTATATGTATTATATGTATTTACGTTGACCCGAACTTCAATTACTTTAAGTACCATTAACTTTGACATTTTAAGATTGTTTTTTATTTTGTCGATAAGTGTCCCATATTTTTTTTTCCAAATTTGATTTTTTAGTCGATTGAATGATGTTTGATAACAATTTTCTAGCCCCTTAGGAAGCGATTGTAAAATGTCGGCAGCATCATCTGGTAAAGCAGCAGTCAATAAAACATCCTTTAATTCTTCTGTTCATTGGTTAGCCGTAGCAGTACCATTAACTTTGACATTTTAAGATTGTTTTGTATTGTGTACAAGTCGCTAAGAAGTGTCCCATCATTGTTTCCAAATGAAATGATATGCTACTTGTCCCCACTAATTTATCTAGGAACATCTCAAATATGTGTACATTCTTAGATTTTTTTTTAATTCGGGAATTTTCTAATCGGATTTTTTATTGAAGAGTGTGCAAAAATAACGCCACGCGTTCTGGCTAATGTTAGACGAGAATTCTACAATCGAGTGGGATACTCCTCAGTACAAAATGGCTTATTGTTTGCTACAGTTTTATGTTTAGAATTAACATAAATTATTTTTGGGACGGATCACAGTAAAACTATATTGAAATTCTTTGATTTGTGGTATAACCTGAAATTGAATTGGAGTCAATTATAATATCTTACTTTAAATAAAGATTTGACAGTTCCCGCACTATTGCCTGAATACAACATTAATTGCGATTTTTCGTGAACTGACTACATTTCGTCAACTTTATTTCTTTGTAAACAATATAATTTATTGTTTACAAAGTACTATTTATTGTTCACTAGTCTTCTTCTTCTTAATGTGCCGAATGTTGGCGATTATCATGGCAATCTTTATCTTATCGCAGATTCTAAGGTTCTTAAACCAATAATATCTTCTTCTTTCTAGACCTCGTTGTTCAAATATTTTTCCTTGCAGGATGGCTTGAAGGAGAGCATTGACAATATACAATTTACTAAAATGTAGTCCATTTGATCCTCATAATTCTCCTGGGTCTGTCTTGAGGGGATTTCACGTGTACATCTCGCGAGGTGGTAATTGGAAGAATGTGTTGGTGACAACTGTTCTGAGTCTTATGCGAATTTTTCTAGGAGGTATCCTCTCTCGTTTCTGACTCCAAGTCCATGTGCTCCAATGTACTGTGTATTATCTCCAGCTCAAATATTGGCGTTAAAATCGCCCATCATGATGAGAACTTCCTATCGAGAAATTTTCTGTATTATACTGTTGATGTTCTAAAAGAACTCAATTGCTTCTTCCTCCCCTTTGTCTGCAGTGGGAGCGTAGACTTGGATGATGTTGATATTAATAGGGTTGGTTTCTACTTGTAGTAACATCACTCTATTCGATATTTGGTGTAAAGTTAGTAACGCATTTGGCAACTTTGGGTGATACGATTATTCCGACTCCATATTCATATGATCCATCACTTTTTCCCGAGTAATATACCTTGTGATCTTCTATTTGTATTTCTCCAGAATCTGGTTATCTCATTTCTAATATTCCCATTATTTCAATATGCATTCTCTTCATCTCCTGTATTACATTGTGGATTTTTCCTGCTTTGTATAAAGTTTGATATTCTTTCTGCATTTCAATTTATTATCTTTTGGTAAACTCAAAACTGTTCTCCTCCGGAGACCCGATCGGAGGACTTACTCTGGAGTTTATTTTAGTATTGAGGCATTGCCATGATTGATTGACTAGGGCGTATCGCTGTAGATCTTTAATGGATGTGTTTGCTCTACTTGTCCTTCCCCATCCTTATGCCGTTGATCAAATCTTTGGTTCATCGGCCTTCGAGACCGATTTCACAACCTCAGGACAAAAGAGGGCCCTAACAATCACTAGGTAAATGACTCTTTACATTGAATGACTTGTCACACTAAAGAGTATGAGGTAGAAGGAAATATAGTGATCTGTCTGCCCTCGGAAACCTCACTGTTCACTAGTAATAGTAGTATCTATGAAAATTTGCTGTTTATAATTTAAGTATAAAATAAAAATACTGACAATTCAAATATTGTCAAATATCTGACTCATTAATTTTATCAAACGCAACATGTCATACAGTTTTCTTGTAACGCGTGTGGACTGACTTTAAGGGTGGCCTGAAAATATGTATTATACTTTTTGCAAACATTTTTAAGTGCGCTCAATTCGTAGAACAATTGCAACATTTGTTTTTAATATAGATTTTCAGTCCTCTACAATTAGTTTTTAATGACTTTTGAGGTAAAATAATTAGGGAAGCAGGATTTAATAATTTAGAATTTCCCATTGAGTTTCCTATTGACCGTGTGGCGATTCACCATCCTGTATAGGTATATGTATATTATTCTTTCGATTTATTAATGTAATTTCGATATAATTAAAATTAAATAGTTAAAATGCTGTTTGCACAAATTACCGACCTATTCCCTTTAATTCCGATAAACGACAATGATCCAAAACCATTTTGGCGAGTTCCCAATCGGGCTCAACTACTTATTTTTGTCGAGTGATAAATTAAAATCTGACAACTCTAACGAACTGTCAGATAAAACACAAAGCACAAAATACAATCATTTGTTGCACGTCTACATGGATGAATAAATTTTCGACATAACATATATCGGATGTTTTTTGCGGCCTGTTATTGAAATGCCCACAAAAATGGTTTGATGAATGAAAGCCCGTGCCGGTGCGGCTTTATGAAAGGGAAATTAGTTCAAAAACAAAATGAAAATCGACAAAACTTTTATGTCCGTCGAAACAAAAGTGAATTATTTAAATTATTTTAACGAATTTTAAATTAATTGTTATAAAATCAAGAGTGGGCGCTAATATGGAATCCCTTTGATGGCAAAATTGCTATTATTTTATAAAAAAAATTCAAACAAAGCAACAGTAGGAGAAACACTATAAAATAGTATTATTTTATTATTTTGTATTTCAGATGATGGTGAATATATGTCCTTTGGTCTCTCTGGCGATGATTCTAAAACTGTTATGATCGGTGGTGATGTAGTTGTAGCATGGGTAGACAAAGAAACTCTTAAAGGATTTGCGGAAGATTACTATTTGGAAGACAAATCACAGTGTTCCGGACCAACTGGATCATGTCCCGACAATAGACTAGGTGTAAGTAGCTTTTTATTGTATATTTTTCTTCTTTAGATGTCGTTTGAAGTTTCATTTTCTTGTTAGTTGGATTTTTAGGCAGTCATAATTCTTAGCAAGATTTATGTCTTGCAATTCCAACTCTTGTTTACCAGACAGTCCAAATAGTTAAACTGCTTGACTTTCTTTAGTTGCGTGGATAATTATTATTTCGATGCATAATCATGGTTTTCGTCTTCTTAGCATTTATTTTCATACTCAAAGCTTCACTTACGAGATTAAGATTAACTAGGGAGAAAATCAGCTGGGGTGTATAAAATCCTTCTTCTTCTTCTTCTTTTGGCATCATCTCTCTTAGGACCTTCTTCTCCATTGTCTTATATTCATGGTTTTTCAGGTCGTCTTCCCCGTCATCCAACCACCTCGTCCTGGGCCTCTCGCTTTTTGCCGCCTTCCTACCGGTTTCCACTGTAACATCTTCATTGTCATTTTTATATCTTCTTGTCGCTGAACATGTCCCAGTCATGACAATCTTTGACTTTTCACAAATTTTACAATGTCATCCCCTTCATTCACTTCATTAACCTCGTCGTTTCTCCTGATTCTCCATGTACCGTCTTCCTCTTGCACCGAGTCATATATTTTTCTTAGTGTCTTTCTCTAAAATGTTCTGAGTAGAGCTTCTCTTTTTTCGTCATTAGCCAGGTTTCACAGCCATAGGTTAATACGAATGTAATCAAAATGTTGTATGGAACTGTCTTTTTCTTTTTATTCCGATTACTCTGTACGAATACAAGAAACCAATTCGCTAAGGATTTTTGCTTAGTTGAGGAGATAATGTCGTGGAATGCAAATTTTAGATTCCCATGTCTCTAATAACATCTTTATCAACGTCTGTTTTGCCTTGCAATTCTTAGAAGGCACAGATTAAAGCAAAAATCTGAATTTGGTTTCGACAATTAGTTTACGGATTTTGATTATCAATATCTTCATAATATTAATTGTATTACTCTTAGGAAAATACCAACAGCATTCGTCTTCTGAACGCAGCAATGGTTAACGGCTACTCCATCGTAACCTACCAACGTCCACTTCGAGCATCCGATCAATTCGACCGTCCCATATACACTAATCATTCCCAAGCTATCATCTGGGCGATCGGACCGCTGAACCAAAGAGACGAAGTGTCTTTCCACAGCAAATACCTCAAGAAAACACATCTTATCGACTTTGGAAGACCTGCAAGATGGAATTGTCCCATGCCGGAGACAGATCAACCAGCAATGGCTGCTGTATATGCTCAACATCAGCCTGTAGATACCAAGGAAACGTCGTACGTTGAGAAGGAGTACAGCGAAGAACCTACTACTAGCGCCCCAAGGAGAACAAGTGGTAAAATGTTCAGTCTATCTTAACACTTTTACTACAAATGTTATATTTGTTATTCTAATCCTTATTTTAATTTATTTACAGTCCTCTAACACTAACACTAAAAACACAATTAATTTATAACATTTACTTACTTAACCGTACAAATTTATTATAACGACTGACTCAAATCTTAATTTTATATTTTTCTGCATATCTGTTCGAACCGGAATGAAATTAAATTCTCTAGATGTTACTAAGTCTTGCTTCTAACACGATCTTTATCGAACATGTTTGAATCTTTTTCATGATCTTTTTGTGAATATTCTTCTTCATGTCTTGCATTAATTTGGACACACTGCTTCTTCAAAGTTGCCTCTTTTTGTGATCGATTCATTTCACAATCATTCCACTCGATTGGATTTCAGGCTATTAGGTTGGTTCATGCTATTCTAACTTATTTATTTTCTACAATTTTATTGTTGAAATATTTTAAGTCGAATAAAAATCGATATTCCTTCTACGTGCAAATCTCTATTTTTGATATTTCACAGTTAGAAGACGAATTCCCCAAAGAGGAGCCCAAAATTCACTACCAGAAGATTCGCAGAATAGCGCTTCCAGGACAAAAGAACAAGCTGAGCCTAATAGAAGAAGACAGCCCCAAAAAGAAACTGACACTCGCGTCGCAAGACCTACTCAAACTAGCGTTAGCAAACGGGATGCATGGGTAATTCCTCCAATCCAGTGTGATGAACCTGACGATGGCGTATTTTATGCCCAAATGGTCCAACCGGCGGAAAACGAGGATATCCAGCTATAACAGGTGAGAGACAAAATATTAATCCCAGCTGTGGGTATTTTATTTGTCAAAATTATATGAATAAAATTATTAGCTTTATTTGAAATAAATATTACCAATATTATGACCAATATGCGTTCTTGTATTTGCATTAAGTTCCAGAAAGAGAAATACTATACCAACTAGTTACTTTATTAGACGAAGTGAAACCTCAATACTCCGGGAGTATTGGACTTTAGGAAGTGTAAGACTTCCAAATTCCAGAAGAACTGGAAGAGAGGTGATGAAAATACTAAAAATAGGCTAAGCTCAGAGGAACAAATTTAAATGGCCAAAGAGACACTAAATCTCAAGTGAGTGTTCGGGCTAGCTTCAATGCACTGGATTGTGGCTTTAAAGATATAAACAGATAGCAAGGATACTGAGCTAATGAGGCAATAAACGAAATGAGACCTGGTAATATCAAACGTGATACAACTAAAGAAGGTCACTGGGAATAAATTTATAGAAAGAGAACAAGAAGAAGAGAAAAGAAGGGCGCCAACTCAACGATAGTTGAGATTTTGAAGTAACAAAGGACAGGAAACAAATGATACTAGAGATAATAACCTGAAATACAAAATACTAAATACTAATCTTGTTTTGCTATATTATATACTGGTTAGTAGAACTGAAATAAAACTCAAAATAGTAACAATAAATATATTTATAAAAAAAATGTATATCGATATATATGTATTAACAATTTACATATAATGCAAAACTAAATAACAGTGGTAGTGAGTAGTGTAAAGATACAATAGGACCTAATAGCCCCTCAACAAGTGAATAATCACTACCACTGGCCAATAAAGTTTAAAATATGAGTAACACCAAGAATAGTCCGTATGGTAGCCTAAGTCTTAACACAAAAGGTAGTAATTTAAATTTAAATAGTTCTACTAATATGAGATACTAATGACAATATTGTAAAGATATCAAAAGTGATAAATCTGTTACAATTCTATTAAATATATTACATTCAAAAGTGAATCTTCAATACTTCTTATATAATGTTTAAAAAAAAAACCACATGAAATTTATTTCCGTTCCCAAAATCAAAATTGTATTATATCAAAAATGTATTCTATTAAAAATATATATATATATATAGGGGAAAGCGTTGTACCTTGGGACGGTTTTGAAACAAAGATTTTTATTATTACTTGGGCAAACTTTATAATAGTTTTATTAATACTGACTTAAAGTCCATGTTTTAGGGAATTTATTAATGTTTTAAAATATAAAATATGTCAATTAACAAGGGAGTAAAAAAATATTTTCTTCACCCTTGCTAAGTATCCCAAGGTACATCACGGTGTTGTACCTTGGGATACAGGGTGTTGTACCTTAGGACTAAGTAAAGGAGTGAAAGGGAAAAAATCAATAAAGCAAATAAATCTTATGTAATGCATATAAAAATACATAACATTAAAGCTATAAAAACATTATTGGACAATAACAGTCAATTAAGCAAATAAACCTTATGTAATGCTCATAAAAATACAAAGCATTAGAGCAACAAAAAAATTAGTGAACAAAAAAATCAATTTCGGAAATAAATCTTAGGTAATCCTCATAAAAATACAAAATATTAGAGCAACAAAAATTTTTACATAAAGACTATAAAAATACAAAACATTAGAGCAAATCTCTTATAACGGCTACTTTTACCTAATTAGTTCATGGGCATGTCATATGCACTGAAATTCACAGGAAACTTGAGTGATTGCTTCAAACGCTCCGAGGTTCCTGTGGTTGAGGGCGAAGGCAACTTGCATATGATTTCTCCCTCGTCTATTTCATATAAAGTTTCATTTCTTAAGAGAAAAGTATTTCTTCCGGTTTTAACAAGATATTGAATTTCATACAAAATGTCTATTTTTTGTACGACTTTTGCTACATAATAAACAGTTTTCTTCTTGCCATCAATTTTAACTAAAACATAATCGTCTTGTTTTATTTCTTCACATTCAATCTTCTCCTGTAAGGCTATATCCATTTCTTCCTCCAAAACTCCTTGTATTAATTCTTGCACGGATATATCACAATCTTCTTCGTCAGACAAAAAAGTCATTTCTTCATCCTCAGAACTGGAGGTCTCTATAATTTTGTCTTTGTTTTTCTTTTTGGGATTATTTTTGTTCTTCTTCCTATCAGAAAACAGTTGTTTAGGAGTGACAAAACTTCTTTTCTTTTTATTTTTGTTATCTTCAATCTCCTTTTTTTCTGGCGTGTCGGTCAGTATTCTGCACCTTCCAGGTTTTCTTCCTCTTACGGTCTTCTTTCTCATCTGGGCTTTTGGAAACGGGCGAATCGTTTCTGGTGTCACGATTTTAGATGTTGATGGGATCTGTAGGTGACAGATAGACGATGATGAAGGCTGGGCTAAAGTCTCACTCGCTTCAAAATGACTGGTAGAATCCAACACAACGTCATTTCTTCGTCGTTGAGTCTTTTTAATGTCTGTAGGCCTACCATTTGTATTTTCCTGAACCAGTTCACGATCAGTTACGTAGGATGAAAGAAACTCGTTGTCAGTAAAAATGTTTCTTTCAAATGGAAATATTCCTGTCACCTGAAAACCTTTCTCAATATTTTCTTTTGTAAATGCTTTGTTGTAAGCACTGCCAATTAATCCAGCAACATCATATATCTGGATAGGTTTTCCAGGATTAGATAACATCCAACCACTCATGGTACTGCTGTAGTATGTTTTATACGGGCCAAACACAGTTCGGTCTAACGGCTGAAGCTTGTGTGAGGTATGGGGTGGGAAGGTTAACATCACCACGCCGTTTTCCTTCGCTAAATTTAAAGCTTCAATCGAGATGTGAGATTCATGGTTGTCTAAAATAAGCAAGACAGGTTTGTCTCGAGTAGGTTTCACATGCCTGATGAAGTGCTTCAAGAAATCAACAAATAACACTTCATTGGACCACCCACTTGGATTTGCACCACCAATTGCACCATTTGGGGCCCCAATGAGCATATGTTGTTTAAAATTAACACGAGGATAAATGAGCATTGGTGGAACGCTGTTCCCAATAGCATTGACACATGCTATCATCGTTATATTAATTCCTCTTTCCCCTGAAGTGACAGAACCAACCTGTTTTGTTCCTTTTGTACATAGAATTTTAGGAGGCACATGGACTGTTGAATTACCTGTTTCATCAAGATTGTAGATCTCGTTTGCTTGAAACTGATGTCTTTCTATGACTAGCTGTAATTGATCGAAAAATTTGTTCACGTTGTCTTTGTTAAAGCTTGTTGCTCTTGCAAGGCTCGTAGGCTCGGGTTTACGTAAGCTTAGGGTAGGGTGGCGTTTCCTAAAGCCACGTAACCAGAACTCTCCAGCAGATTCTGCGGTAATCCATTCTTTTGGAACTTTGATTTTGTTATTTTCCTGCTCTGCCAAGCCTTTCGCATACTGGAAGGCTAGTTTAAGTGTGTCTTTTTTTGTAAGGCCGTAATGCAGAGCAGCTGATTTTTTAAGATAACTAACTAACATAAGCTCTTGTTCGTTTGAAAAAACCTTTTTTACAGCATTTTTTTCACTGTCATACATAAAATTAGGCTGTTCATCATTATGGTTTAATGAAAGGTATTTTTGACAGTGTCTACTCAAAGTCGAATTGCTTAACTCATACCTTCGTGCAGCCTCATTAACCGTAAGTAATCCCTTCAGAACATCGTTTACTGCACTTTCTAAAGACTGCTGGTTGATCTTCACCCGCGTCTTGCCGTCTTTGCTGCGAGGCATAGTTCTAAAAAAAACAAAACAAATTCGGCTAACTATAAAGCGTTTTAAAAATAAACAACTTACAATAAACAACATTCACAAACAAACCAGCCACTCAAAAATTACTGGTATACATTAGGTCCATCAGAAAAAAATACAACGCTCCAGTACATACCAATTTAAGCTTTTCAAAGCATTTAATTGAAAAAAAAATCTATCAGTGTTGTACCTTGGGACGTCCTAAGGTACAACCGTAATTCAGTCCCAAGGTACAACACGGTGCAGAAAATTAAAACGTGTCTTTTAAATATATTTTAGGTTAGTTGTACACGATAAATAATTATATCATTTAGTAGAGCACATCTCAGAGTATAATATAATGTCTTATGTTTATTCATAAATTAAAGAGTAAAAATTACAAAAAACAAACAATAAAACAACTAAAAATTACTTACCAATGAAAATTTCGTATTTTGTTCGGTAACTCACACACAGTTCTCTTAAAAGTTGCCAATCACTCTACACTAACCCCTGGTGGCTAAGTGAAACAATTTAACAGGTTAGTTTGGTCTGTCGATCATAGATGACAGAGCAATTAAGATCGTCCCAAGGTAAAACTGTCCCAAGGTACAACGCTTTCCCCTATTATATATATATATATATTATATATATATATATATATATATATATATATATATATAGATATAATATATAATATATATATAATATAATATATATATATATTAAATCAACAAGTGAGTTCGGTCAGACTCTGTATATCCTATTTAAAAAACCTAATAAAAACAGGTAATATATTTTCCCTCTCCCAATAATATCAAAATTATATTTATCAAAATGTATTCACTTGATCATATGCATATGAAAAGTTAACAGTAAATAGAAAGTAACAAAAAAAATTACACAGTCAAACAACTTATCTTTACAGAACTATAAGTCCATAGGAAAAAACTCCTCTTGGCACGGCTAAATTAATTTGTTGCTGTAAGGACAAACCCAGTGAGTCTAATATAGTCAAACCAGGCACTGGTCTATCTGCTCCGAGAAATCGGTAACTCCATAACCAAGTTGTTAACTATTCAATAAAGAGAATAACTATTCCTTGAGGGAATATTCTGAAGAGAATATTCTCAGTGAAGTGACGGAATCTAAAAAGGTTATGTAATTTAATAAATGTAATTTAATAGGTGTAGCAGCATGGATTGACTGCACCAAAACAAAACATCAAAACATTAGAGGTCTAAAAATGTCAAAATTTTCGAAGTTCATTTCGTAGACATGACAGGTTTGCGCCATGAAATGAACACGCGCAGAACACAGAAGGCTGTAGAAACCTTGTATATTCCACCAAAAAAAGTTAGAGAAAAAAAAACCAAAAAAAACTTAATGATAACGACATGGACTAAAACAGAATTAGTTTAACTATATAAAAAATGACCTTCTGTTCTTTGCAAGTAAATCAAGGAAATTTTATATTTAAATTATTTCGGAACTCAAAAATAAATCTCTAAAGAAATACTAAACTGCAATGATAAATTTGATTATATGATAAAGAGATAATACGTATGAAATGATTTACTTACATGGAGCCGCAGCACGCCAAAAAAATCTTCCTTTTATGTGGAACTCTTATAAATATTGATTTTTAAAATTTACTTATTATTATGAATATATCTATTTTATATATGAATTAATTTATTCTTCCCCAAATTATTTTTCTTGTTCCAATTCCGTCACTTTGAAGGTGAAAAGATTTCACCGGTTGACGTGGCTGCGTTGAGTTCTGACCAAAACTGACCGCTTTGATCCGCACAAAATCGATCTTCCTTTCAAAGCGCTCCCAGCGCGTGGGTGGAGAAATGTCGATTTAAAAATCGATCACAGGCGGGTAATAAGAAATTTCCTGAGGGGTTAATCAGTAGCGTAAACGCTACAGAAGAGTCTACATATTATCTGCAACCAGTGCACTTAAGAGTCAACCTAAAAGAGAATATGTAGGGATACACAAAAGACTAGATTTTAGAACTAGAAATGATGCTGTAGATTATGTTGGAAATAGCAGAAGGTCTAAATATGACAACGCATTCTTGCAAAGTTTTTGATTACCATTGATGTTTAGATACTTATTCTTTAGGCAGAATACCCATGTGGAGAGCTAGCCGACTGGCCTCAGAAGGTTAACCCAACCGATTGGAAATCGCAGAAGCTCTAAATGCTGTGCTGAAAATGCAAGTAAGAAAACAAAATGGAGGGAACCACAAAAAGTCAAGTGGTGAATGTTAAAAGATGAGAAAGAAGGTTTATTCGGGGCAAACATAGTAGAAAAAATTAGCTAAAACGTGGACGGAAATCCTAATATAATTTGGAGAAATGTGGTCAGAATTATTAGAAATTATGTAGTTGAAAAACCTCAGTAAAGTACTTTGGAATAAAAATATCTGGTGGTTGTTAAACGAAGTTTAAGAAAAAATAAAATTTAAGTTAAATTTTAATTGTAATTAATATTTTAGTAACTTATTTATTATATTAAAAGATATGGTAAGATTAAATTTATTTTAGGTCACGTCGGCTGGGGCATCAGCTGGTACATCAACGGTCTTCTCATACCAGAGATATACGTAGTCAGAGGTACTGAATACACATTCGTCGTAGAAGGTGGCGAGAACCCAGACATACCAGCTAAATATCACCCCTTTTACATAACCGACGACCCTGTTGGAGGCTACGAGTACAAAACACCAGAAGAAAAAAGGGTTAGTTGAAAAAAGAAATAGGTCTGGTGTCGTATTTTACACCTAGCAGGTAGATGTTAAGAGATAAAAGTGATAATTTTTATTGTGATGAAGAGAGGTAGGTAAATTTTTAAACTAATTTAAATCATCTCTTGGGAAAACGGTCAGTACATCATAAACATTCTGTAAAATAATTACAAAAGGTAGTAAATCAGTCACACGAAGTCATTTCATATTTGTGCCAAAATATATCTGTGGTGTTTGGGAGACATGTGTTAACTCCAAAATGCATGTTTTTCAGTAGGGCAATTTTAACATTCGAGAAGGTTTCTTAAATCGAACGCAACAAAATAAAAAATCAAATAGATTTCATTAAATAGTTTATTAAGTGCTATAACAGATGTAACAAACAAAATATGATTTAACATTTCTGTTTTTGATATAATGGCACATATCATATGTATATCAAAAATATAGAGAATTAAAAAGTATTTTAATGGAGATAACGCTCAAAGAGAAAAGAACTTAAACTATTATTGGTCAATTTCTATCCATATTCTTCAACTCAACATTGAGTTGTTATCAACAGGTCCTCGAAGACACTTCGTCTCAGGACCATTTTACCTATGTAGGGTCATACGCCGCCATGTTACCAATTCCAACGGTAACTTAAACATCCTAATCTGTAACCATATATAATGTAAAACAACTGTGAATTTATAAAATTTAAAGGGTTTTGACCCATATATTTTGGTGGCTCATAGCATGTATATCTCGTTTACACTGATGATGGATTTAACAATCCGAAAAACGTTTTGCAATATTTTTGTGGAAGCCCGTTTGGGCATTTTATTATATACCTTTTATAAAGGATTTGAAATAAATTTTTTGTGATATATGGTATACAGCTACAGGAACTTAGTTTCCTAGTGGATTTTTATGATTATTATTAATTTTTTACAACTTAAATCTAAATTATCTACAATATTTTTGCAGTAACTCCTCTTCGGTAAACATAGCAACCAATTGCTTCATTTGTGTCGGTTCATGCACCATTTTTGTTTCAGAATCATATCGAAATGTTTAAATTTAAATTGTATTTTCAGAAAATCCGCATTTTTGCCGGAGCACGTAAAGAACCAGACGGTTCTCTAGTACCATCTGGTACAGGAAGGTCGTGCTACTGGACACCGACAAGTGATATGGACGCAGATGATTTTCCATCCTTCGGAGCATACCAGAGATCGCTGGAGCTTAAATGCGATCAAGGGGAACCCGGATTTATCCAATGGACACCGGATAAGAATACACCGGATACTGTTTACTATCATGTAAGTACATTCTTCCATACGAGAATATTCATACATATTATATATATTTTTTAATGAGTACCTAATCTATTATTATATCCCTTATCTATGTATCCTACGATGAGTAATGGCAAAGTCTTTATACTTACAAATACTGCAAGCTTCTTCTTAAGAGAAATCATACGCCAAACAGTGCTACCACTTTTACTTTTTTTAATTATTAATTTTAACTCATAGAAATATGTTCTTTCAAACTGAAAAAATCAGAAATCACTTTTCAGTTACCAGCACAAGATCTTCTCTTTTACAAAGTTCAGAATCCGATTCTGTTTCTTATTCTCCAATACCCTCATCATCAACCTCCACATTCTACGCTCAACCAATTATATTGGATTGTCATAACAAAATATCATTTCTTCGAAATCGCCAACAATTAAAGTACTAAAATTTTTAATTTACTTAAAACAAAATATTTCTTTGAAAACTTTAAGGCATTTGAATAAATTAACTTTATCTATGCTGTATTGAAAGAAAGACGAAATTGATCTCAGTTGGGAAAAACTAAAGTGAAACATTAAAGGTGCGGTGTGTCCAGGTATGAGAGCAGTTCTGGTAACTTTCTGAATGATATTAGGAGTCTTCTTCTACTCATTCCTCTTATGTACTATGTAGACATGTCTCTGTTTGTTTTTTAATGTGCCTCTAGTAAGTTGTGGTTCCATCGTTTTTCGTGGTCTTCCTACTGATCGGGTCCCTATCCTATTGGGAAACCGTCTCTTGCCGTTTTTACTACTCTATTTGTTGTAGTAGAGTCTTCTATTTCTTAACCAGTCCTTAAATCAGGAGAACTAGATTGCCATTTGATAATTATTCAACTGCCTATTCAACAATTTGAAACTTCTTAAAGATAATTACGTACATAATTCCTAATATGAGGCAGGGCAACCGTTTTATTACCGTTTCCCTTTAAACACAGTGTTGCTTCATCATAAAAACAGGATACAAATTGCTTAAAACTCTTTAAACTATGAGATTTGGTATCTGGAACCCTATTTATGTACATATTATCTACAGATTTGATCGTAATATTATTTTTGTTTTAGTGCTTCACTCACCGATACTTGGGCTGGAAAATTCACGTCCTGGACAGCTGCGATCGCAAAGCCGAGGCGAGCGAGATCAAGCCGGCGATTGTCCCTGCGCCTCAAAGCATTTTGGACAAATTGGACACCGACCTAGAAGACAGTCCCTCTCTTCGCGTCGAGACAAGGGTAAAAACAAATTAATATTATTACAGAAGACATCGAAGATAAAGACACTAAATCAATAATTTCAGAGAAAGTAACTTCGGCACCTGTAGAAAAGTCATCGGAGCAGTTACCAAATCTAAATCCACTTCAAACACCAGCACAGCAATACTTCCACCTTAGAACTAGACCCAACTTCCATTACTACCAACAGCCTGAGCACTTGCACTACTTCAAACCCAGCACTCTTCTGAACACCGGCCTTGAAAGCACTAAGACCATTTTAGTACCTTCCACTACCAGCACTACTACAACCACCACCATAACTACAACTTCTTCCGAAAAACCTACAACTCCCAAACAGTAGATAATATCGCCGTAGCTAGCGACAATCTTGCCAATGAGACTTACTTGGTCCCTCCTCCTCTTCACTATCACGAAAACGTTAATGTAATTTACAGAAGACCGGTAAATTATTTACCAATGCCAGTAAAGATGGTGCCACAAGGTGCTTATCTAAAGCGATATTATGGAGGACCACATGTAAGTTATAAAAAACCAATCCTTAGGGTGCCCAATTACAGATATAAGCAGCCAGCTATTTCTCCTTACATAGTATATGTCAAACAGCCTCCTCTAACAACAAAAGCACCAATTGAGAATCAAGTAAGACCTTTTATCGAAAAGCCTGTATTTGAGGAGATCCGAAATATAGAAATTTCTCCCCAACAGGCTTCAACAGAGAAAGAACCTGAGATACAAACCGCACCTAGCACATCTGTTGCTGATATAGTACCAAATTTTCTAAGACCGCTTTTAATACTGGCTTTAAGCCAGGTTCTATAAAAATAGAAAGTGGCTTCAAGCCAATCATAACTAAAGAATTCCAAGACAGAATAGACGAGGATGAGCCTGTGGTGGAGTATGAAAGTGAAAAAGGCGTTTTAACAAATAAACGATACAGAAAAATTTTGAAACTAAACCTATTCATGCCTTTGAGCCAATGTTTATTCCTTCTCCTCCGTTTAAGCCAACGAAAGAAAAGAAAGTTAAGATAACAAAAAGGCCTGTGTCGAAAAAAAGGCAACAATATACCAAAATTGTTGTTAAAAGACCACGCAGCATATCGGATATTTTGGAGGAACCCATAGCTGAGGCGAACGAAAGAGTCGAAAGCTATTACCTTCCTCCTACTAACGCACAACCTGTAGAGGTGGTTCGGGAGCCCTCAAATATCGATATTGACGTACCAGAATCAAACCCAATGCTCGGTACTCCCCCAGATATCGTAATTACATACGACGGTAAAAAACTGTCAGGTCAAAGCTTGACAGCCAAACTGTCAGATCGACCGACCATAGTAAGTCCAAGATTGTCAAAAGCTTCGGCTTATTTAACAGCCAGACCTCAATTGGAAGATTCAGGGGAGAGTTGCCTCCTTTGAATCTTGATTTCATAAATAAAAATGCGCCGCAACTGCAGAATTCCGCTGGGGTGTTAAATAGGGAATTAGATACACCTCTGCCTTCGGAAAATGAGCAAAAAACCATTTCGACAAGGCTAAGTAGGGTAAAAAGTATTTAATAATAAAAGATTTTTGTCTAAACATGTTTAAAAGTATCTAATTCCTTATATTTAAGTAATTTAATTGTTGGTATGATATTTTAGTACAGACATTGTAAACAAGAAATATAATTAATGAATTATATTATTTTTAGCGTGTATTTTGTTAGAAGTCTTTAGTTTTATTATTGAATTTTTTTGGTTTTTCTTCTACGTCAAAGATATGATCTATCAACAAATCACATCTTTGACATAGCAGATAAATATGATCTATTGTAGACCTACCATTTTGTCTAAAAGCAATTTATCGCAACGGTCTGTGTGTATTTAATTTTTATTCCTTTCAGGATAGGCAATCATCAATACAACTATTGTAATAGGAGTTGACTATTCTTGATCCTCACTGTATTCGTCAAGGACTTCTACCGCATTTAGACGTCTATTTAAAGGTATTGTTGTAGAGGAGAATGTCTTAAACACTTTGTTACTGAGAGTTTTGTAATTTTTGTAAAAAACTAAGAGATCTCATTTTATGTAGTAAACAAATAATTACTTTACAATATCCTTTTCCGTTATTATTCGTTCTTCCTTTCGTAATAGATTGTCATAAAGAGAATGATTACTTAAAATAGAAAATTTCAAAAATATTTGAACCTCAACCATATCTAATTTTAATGACGTATGAAATGATGTGCAAACATGTTATAGAAACAGCGAGCGTGGTGATGAGTTGCCTTTGGCATTTTCCATTTTAACTCAAAATGTTGGCAGCTCCTAATTGGAGATATACAGTGTAATTTACTGCGTAAAACAATTTTTCTTGTTTATAAATTTCTTTCGACTCTAAAATCTCATTAGTTACTAATTTTTGTAAATATTAATGTTACGATTTTTAATAAATTTTTACAAAATTTGTGTTATTTTATTTCCTAATATCCTTCAAATTAGATTACAATAAAGAAAGTCAAAATATTACAAGTAAGTATGAATGGTACACAGAAGGAATTAAATATGGACAGGCTCAACCAAACCAAAAAAAAACGTAATTTAAATTTAAAGAACCGTAATTTAAATTTTAAGAGGTTAATAATTTGGTAAATTTAAAATAATTAATCTATTCTTCAACTAAAAGTACGACATAAAATATTGCAGAGAATGTCTATGGCTGCCGTAAATAAATTAAACAGAGTTCATTTTTCTATTCCTGGATTAACATTATGGATAGACATCCTGGATAATATTATACTTGGATTGTACTGAATTAAAATATAGGATAGAAAAAAGAACATTTTCTGAAAGTTATATACAATACTAGAAATAGATACATTCATATGATGAATTAGGATACTTCCATAGTGACTATATAGACCAAATATTTTTGATAGTGTGAAGTGAACATCACCTAAAATGCAAACTTGCAGTTATACTATATGGGACAATTATTTTCTATCTATCTATCTATCTAATTAGCCTTTCTTCGGTCCATCTTTGGACATAGGACTTCTCCCAATCCTTTTCCATTCTTCTCTGTCTGTCGCTACAGTCATCCACCTAGAGCACACGTGCTTTTTGATATCATCTGCCTATATCATTTGGGGCCTTCCTCTGCTTCGTTTATATTCCCACGGTCTCCAACTTAAAAAAATTTTGTTCCATCGGTCTTCTTTTTATCTTATATTGTGTCCGGCAAATCTCCATTTCAAGTTTGCAACTTCTTGTCTAACATCCCTCACTTTTGTTTTCTCTCTTATCCACTCATTTCTCTTTTTATCCATTAGTTTTTATGTGCAAACATTTGTCTTTTCATTGCTCTTTGGGTTTTTATGATTTTGTCCATGTTTGCTTTTGTCTTAGAAGGATTTGGATAGCATCTAAATTTATATTAAAGGTGGAAGAGCAATTTCATAAAGCATTTCTGAATTACTTTAGTTTTTGGGGAAGAAAATACTTCCCACCAATACTAGCTGCCTTCCAGAATACGCTTCATGAGATTCATGAGGTGGCACATAACTCCTTATTTCCTTGTCACTTCTTCCCGCTTGATTCTCAGATTTCTCCTACGGTTTATGAAAACACTCAACCTGGGGAAAGAAGGTAACCAAGCCAAGTTTGTGTCATGGTACCTTAATAACTGGTCTGAATATAAACTTATGTTCACAGATGGATCCAAAGATGAACAAGGTAATGTGGGCATTGGTATATACCTTAATG